TGTTGAATGTCGACAACACTTTTTACTGTTAACATAGTTCAATTTATCTTTTCTTATCTATGGCAACTGTATTTGTCCGAGCAGGCATTCAAAGATGTGGAAATACTACGGTCTCGTTACGAAATCAATAAGTCGGGGTTTGTAATCGTTAGATCAATTATCCCCGACGGCTACATGATGATCTAACGATTACAAACTCTGACGGAATGGATCCGTAACGGGACTGTAGCATCTCCCTCAAAAATGTAGCAGAATAAGAGCATATGTTTCGAGATTTTGACGTGAGAATAGGTTTTTTAAGTACACGGCGTGCGTGTACTATATATCTGTAAGAACGTGGTAATTGTGGGGGATTATTTTTTGGGGTGATTTCTGGTATTGTTTGTGTTTGAAGCTGTAATTTTTAGGATTTCTTTTGGAGAAAATAATATTTTTTTTATCAATAAATATGAATATTTTTAAATTAAAATGTGATACTCGACAAAATGACATTTTATAACTGATAATGATCTTTTGATTTCGTTTGTGATTTTATTGAAAGAAGAAGGCCTACAACCAGGCCGGATTTTCGAACTCATGGCCTAGGGCATTAACACCAGTTTGCTTCTTTGTGGCTTGACCGATAAATGAATTTTACAAATGCTACGAATTGGGAGAGTTTTTATGGAATCAACTTTTGATTGTCTTGAGATTTGGTGGACATAGTTTTATTATTAAATCATTATATTGGTCTATTTTCAACAAAAGTTTTACATTTTTTGAGACATCATATTTAGTACATTAATTAGTGGTAGGATAAAACTCGTTGTTTGCTTTGCCGTTTGCCCTAATTCGAATGTCGTTCCATGTCCGTTTCAAGTGAGTGAACCACCATTTGATTCTTCACGTTGAGATGGTCTTTACACATTAATTTCTAGTTGAATCATTGTTTGTTTGCCCACTCAATTTTCTATCGAAAAAAGTTTAGATTATTTTTTGTCTTGATTAATTCTGACGCCATCTAAAGATTCGGTTTTGTTGGCGACCCACCATAAGTGTCTTATTGTCAAACCAATTATACCCACTAAATTTGGTCTTAATTGGAGTTTGTTTGTCTGCTCAATTTATCATTCAAAATAAGTTTTGGCTCAAATCTGTTGTTCTGTATTATAGGCTAATTTTGTGCCTTATACCATAAGTTTGGCTTAAATTTAGTTTGCCTACTCAAATTTTCGTCCAAAATCATTTCAGTTGTTCTATTTTCAACCTAATTCTTGTTTCGTCTCGTCGGTTTCAAGTGTGATCTTATCTTGAATTGTTCTCGTCAACAAGGTCGTATACTAATAATTGCAGACCAACTGGAATTCAATTTCTCAATCAATTGCAAGTCTAAAATTATAGGCATAAACTACATTTTCAGCCCATGATTAGCCAATAATCAGCCTCCATCGAGCCTATGATAAATTTAAATAAACCGACCATTATTCTGCTACAAATAATTAATTTATCTTATTTGGTAACTTGTACGAATCCCGTGCGATTCACGGGTTTTGATATGCGAAATTGTATCAACATAGGATATTCAGAGAATTGTTTGTATGTATCGAATATATTGAATTTCTGTGATTTTTTGGTGATTTTTGTATGCAAGAGATTTCATGAGAAAATATTTGAAGAAGAAAGTGAGCAGGGAGGCACCGCCTTTTTGCTCTGTACAGACCAGGGAAAAAATGAAAGCTACCCCTCAGACTTATCCCTTTTGTCCATCATAGGGGGATATTTATATACGTTTTTTGTCGGCCTGAAATTATTATAAGCGGTGTTACTTTTGGGCCTTAAAAATAAGATAAAATACAACAATTGATTTAATACATATCCATGTGTAATATCTTAATAAGCGAGGCCAAAATTGGGTTTCAACAACGGGAAATAGATATTCATTAATATTTATAACTTAAAAAATCTCATTAAATAATATTTATAAATTAAAAGCATGGATAATATTTAATACAATGTACCTGTATTAATTTAT